CTGCAGAGATCACAGCCCAGGTGGGAGAATCTGTCCACAGGACAACTATTAGTCGTGCACTCCACAAATCTGGCCTTTATGGAAGAGTGGCAAGAAGAAAGCCATTGTTGGAAGAAACCCATAAGAAGTGCAGTTTGTGAGAAGCCCTGTGGGGGACACAGCAAGCATGTGGAAGAAGGGGCTCTGGTCAGATGAGACCAAAATTGAACTTTTTGACCTAAAAGCAAAACGCTATGTGTGGCGGAAAACTAACACTGCACATCACCCTGACCACACCATCCCCACTGTGAAACATGATGGTGGCAGCATCATGTTGTGGGAATGCTTTTCTTCAGCAGGGACAGGGAAGCTGGTAAGAGTTGATGAGAAGATAGATGGAGCCAAATACAGGGCAATCTTAGAAGAAAACCTGTTAGTGTCTGAAAAATACTTCAGACCGGGCGGAGGTTCAGCTTCCAGCAGGACAACGACCTGAAACATCCAGCCAGAGCTACAATGGTCACAGTCCAGACCGAAATCCAATGGAGAATCTGTGGCCAGACCTGAAAATTGCTGTTCCCAGACGCTCTCCATCCAATCTGACAGAGCTTGAGTGATTCTGCAAAGAAGAATGGGCAGAAATGTCCCTCTCTAGATGTGCAAAGCTGGGAGACATCCCCAAAAACACTTGTAGCTGGAATTGCAGGAAAAGGGGGTCCTACAAAGTATTGACTCCGGGGGGGGGGGGGGGGGGGGGGGGGGGGGTGAAATACAAATTCCGGCACACTTTTCACAGATTTGTAAAGAAATTTTGAAACCCATTTCTCTTTTTCCTTCCACTTCACAATTATGTGCCACTTTGTGTTGGTCTATCACAACAAATCCCAATAAAATACATTGACGTTTTTGGTTGTAACATGACAACATGTGGAAGATTTCAAGGGGGAGGAAGACTTTTTCAAGGCACTGCATCGCCTCATGCTACCAGTAGTGACACTGACCCTATCCAAATGCAAAATTAATTTAAAAACAGTCAGAAACGATGAGCAAGGAAAAAATGTCAGTGGCCTCCACCTGTAAAACCATTCCTGTTTTTGGGGTCATCTCATTGTTGCACATCTAGTGCAGTTTCATTAACACCAAAGCAGCTGAAACTGATTACCACCCCCCTCTGCTACTTAACTGACCAGATCAATATCCCAGGAGGTTTGATGCTAGACTCTGATTACAAAGTCTTCCTTTAATTTTTTTGAGCAGTGTTTTTATGATCATCTGAGCTTGAAATGCACCAGAGGAAATATAGAAGAGAGCCGAGTGACCACCGTGACTGTAGGGAGAACACAGTAGCCCTGACAGTGTATGCCTCATATTCCATATAGTAAAGGTCCCATAGCCAAGTTCCTCTTACATCATCAGTTTGAGATGCTTCTGAGAGTAGAGGATGTCCAAAATGTAGTTTTGCAAAGGAGTTAAGCCGCTGTAGGCACTGGCTGAGTCTTGCATGGCAATAGGAGAAGCTGTGGTAAAGAGAAAGCCTACACTCCTGTTGGTGCTGCACCATCAAGGTCCCGGCTGAAGGAGAATCCAATGGAAAATCCAAATGATGGTTTGGTTAGAAACAGTGCCCAGCCACCAGAAAGCAGTACAGACCCAGTAATGAAACAGAAAAAAAAACACAACCAAAAATAAACATTCCCCAAAACAGCCAAAGACCTCTATTAGCCACTTATCATGGATCTTCATCTACCATAAAGAACAAAAGGACAGACATCCATTCTCCTAAGGATACTAAGCAAAATTGTGCAAGGTGGGAGGGGCTATAGCTTCAAGAAGGATGACCTTCACTTTTCCCATGTACCTAGAGTCCATTGTTCCTGTAGGTAGCTGTATAACCCTCAGTTATTTTACTGCCCGACATCTCAAAGCAAACATCCCAAAGTCCGACACCTCATAAAGCAAAGATCCCACAAACCAACACCCCATACGGCAAAGGTTCCAAGGTCCCACTCCGTATACAGCCAAGATCCCAAAGCTTGACCCCCCCCTTCCCCACACAGAAAAGGTCCCTGTGACAGACCCAACTAGGACAGGGGCTTTTGGAGAGGACTAGGGGGTAGCCTTCTCCCCAATGATTATAGCCCATGGAGAAGACCAGGGATTTGGTCATCTTCTCCCAGTCAGAGCATGGAAAAGAGCTCCGTTCAGCATCTGAAACCATGGTCGTAGGGAGATCATTTTCGAATGATGGACAATAACGTGGTGGACTGCTGAGAGCGAGGCCTGGATTCATTCTCTGCATAAAGACAATAAAGCTTTCCTTCCGGAGTGGATGGAAAGGTGTAATATTAATCTTGTACAGGTGAATGGTCAGAGGAAATATGGGACCTCCCTGCAGACTGGGTTGGAGAAGCTCCTCCACTTGGGACAGAAATCTTTATCAACAATCTTCCTCTAGAAATCTATGAAGATAAATTAATTCCACTTTCTTAGATGGTTAGAATATTGTATGAGTTTTTTCGGATGGTGGACAGATTGCACAGGTGGGGGCCAGTCAACTTGAAGACAGCAAGTGTAATGTACTTTCTGTATGCAGGGTTGGAGGTGCCCAGCTGTCTGGGGTGGGCTCCAGGCTGGCCTGGGTTCTTGGCTGTTGATAAGCCAACTGTTTAATTAGATCACTGCTAGCTATTCATTAGATGTACTGATGATATTACTGTTTACCGTTTGCACTGTTTAGGATAACGTGATCAAGCTGTTATCAATGTGGGATGTTTATCCCGATGTGTAATGTTTGTTATTATTGCTCATGTGGGGACTGCCCCAAGTGTATAAAAACCTTTTAATTTTTGTTCAATAAAGAGTTCCAGTTGCATCTAAGCTAATATAGTCAAGTTTTTGGATGCAATGCACAACTATAATACCTTGGTCCTGTGTCCCAGCGGCGAGGAAGCAATTGTCTGATGGAAGCACCCAGGCGGAGTGTAGTAGAAAAAAAAGAACACACCAACCTTGCACATTACCTCAGTAAACAGCTGATTTATTGATTTAGGACAGGAGTGGGCAACTGTGGCCCTCCAGCTGTTGTAGAACTACAAGTCCCATGAGGTACTGCAAAACTGACAGTTACAAGCATGACTCCCAAAGGCAGAGGCATGAAGAGACTTGTAGTTCAACAACAGCTGGAGGGCCACAGTTGCCCACCCGATTTAGGAGATAAACTCACAAAAGTAGTAATAAAACAGGCATGTATAATCCAAAAGCGAATCCTACGATAAGACACGTGCGAATCCTATCAGAAGGGGAGAGTCTCAGAGCTCTGATGAAGAAAGGACCCCCCCTTCAAAACATGTCAGTGTCACTCAGAGTCTCCCCTTCTGATGGGATTCGCACGTGTCTCCTTATTGTAGGATTTGCTTTTAGATTATATGTCTGTTTTATTACTACTTTTGTGAGTATATCTCCTAAATCAAATAATTGTTTACAGAGGTAATGTGGAAGCTTGGTGCGCTCTGTTCTTGTTCTCTACTACAGTTTGTATCGAGCTTCTCCAACTTCGTGTTGGAGCTGCACAGCCTTTGATCGGTCTTGGACAAACTTCCATACACTCTAGTTGTCATGTTTCATATGACTGTCATATGCATTTAAGTATTCTCTGTATTTTGTCTCTGCTCCTCCCTTTCCTTTGGTTTAGTTCTTCCTGTGTAGATAGCCCACCCCTTTACCCAGAAATGCATTGCAGCTTCTAGCCTCATGTCATGAAGCAGGTCACATTATGATCTTTTGACCTATCAGATGTTCATTGTTGTAAGATTCTCTGTTTATGGAATAAACTTCACAAGATCTACAAGGTGTCATCCGATCGAGTCACTGCCTGTGATATTCAACTAAGATTGGAGTTATCGCTATCTCATCACAACTAAGTTACAGAGATCACACTTTCAATGCTCAGATTGGAGAGACAGAACACTAGTATTATTGGTCCATCGGTCCTCTACTGATCTGGGTCCCTGAGTGCAGGAGATGTTGCATCTGTGTCTACCCAGATGGCCCGTCACAGTCCCGTAGCCCAACTCCCATACAGTAAAGGTCCCATAGCCCGGTTCCTCTTACATCATCAGTTTGAGATGCTTCTGAGAGCAGTCAAAAGTTCAGTGACAGGTACATTTAACTTGCAGATGACCACCTTCTGACCTGCTTCAAGCAGGTTTTGTATCCCCATAAACTTGTATGAAGTGAATGAAATCTCCAAGATATAGGCAATAGCAATGACTACCCCTAAAGTCACAAATTCATTTCAGGTTCCTTACAAAACATGTCCCTTTAATGTTAAACGTCTATGAAAAGAATGTAAAGATTTTACACAGCAGATACCTGCACAGTTGCCAGACAACATATTTGTCACTTTTTTAAAGCCAGAATACAGAAATAAAGGAGAACCATCAGAATCAGTGAACAGTCAGTTTATTCACGTTAGACGTCAACCTGCGTTTTATTTTTTTCTTAAATTCAATAACATCAATAATTAAAGTGAATCTTTCATCAGATTCACACCATGGATTCTTTGCTATAAAACACAGTGATGCAGTATATATAAAGGAAATTCTATAACCCAGACAGCCCAGTAAGCAGCATTCTGCCTGCAGTGTTGTGCATCCTGGTTGGGAGCCTATCCTGCGGCCCTGTCCACTCCTTCACAGGCCGGAGCATTAAGGAGGCAAACCTGGAGACAGCTTAGTGTATGCACAGCTCTGGGGGCAGAAAGCCACCTGCATTGCCGATATTTAAGGTTTTATGTGTTACAGCAAATAATTCACTGTGTGGATTCTAATGAAAGGTTCCTTTCTGAGCAGTGACAGAAGTTGAGCCTGTATCCAGAGACCTGGCACCCCTCTTCTCAAAAACAAAAAAAGCAGGAGTGGGGTGCGCAGCTATTCCGTTCTGAGTAATGAAAACAGAGTGTCCATTCAACTAGGAATTTCTTTGCTGTACAGTTGGGACGGCATTGGGGGGAAGGGGTCCATCTAGCCGTACAGATCGTCTTCTTCTTCAGCAAAGTGGTTTCCCCCAGCACCGCCTCCAGCTCCTTGACTTGGACCGGATCCTCCCTGCCCTCCAGAGGGGAATCTGGAAGAGAGAACATTGCACCGCATTTACAAAACATCAATGTACTAGGAAAGAAAACCTAGACCTGCTGACTTCCAATAAACCTGAATTAACCACTTCCCGTCCGGCCCATGTACATAAACGGCCGGATGGGAGCAGTGCAGGAATGGGTGACCGTTTATAAACGGCCTCCGCATTCACTGCCTCTGCGTGGTAACTGGGAGCGTGCGGCACACCACACAATCTGGTGCCCGCTATGTCCGAACACCAATCGCTGTACGGGGGCCTCTGTGTGAGGTTCCGATCATGTGATCACTGATTGGCCAATCAAAGATCACATGAATAGTAGTAAGCAAGATGTCACTTCCTGACATTATTGCTTACTTCTCCTAGATTGTAAGCTCCCAGGATCAGGGCCCTCCTATCTCTCTTGTATTGAACTGTATTGTTGCTGTATTGTCTCCCGTTATATTGTAAAGTGCTGAGCAAACTGTTGGCACCATATAAATCATGTATAATAATACTACTTGTGAAATTATTATTATTAAACAGGATTTATATAGCGCCAACAGTCTGCTCAGCGCTTTACAATTAACAGTATAACAGAAGACAATACAGCAATACAAGAGGGATAGGAGGGCCTGATCCTGGGAGCTTACCTGCTAAATCTGTGAATGATCCCAGAGATCACATGGTACAGGGCTATTCACAACAGCCTTGTACCATGTGACAAGCTGTGACCAATCACAGCTCACACAGTATTTCTCAATGGTTGCAAGAATGCAGCCAGAGAGAAGGAGAAATGATTGCTTTTACAGCCTTTGTGGGTGTAAAAGCAATGGGGTGAAAAAAAAAAAAAAAAAAATCTTCCATCACCACCCCCCCCCCCCCCCCCCAAAAAACTAATAGTGTCACTGTACTGATAGGGTGACAGTATGTTAAAAAAAATAGAAAAAAAACTGTATAATAAAATAAATTAAAAATGTAAAACTTTTTTTGAAAAATTATAATTTTTGGTTATAAACTAATTTGGGTAATTTTTTTTTTTACTAAAGATAGCTGAATACATTTTGGTTAAGATTTATGCAGAAAGAATATTTGCAAAATTTTATAAGAAAAACACTTTTTTTTTTCAAAATGTTTGAACTTTTTCATTTACATAGCAAAAAAATAAAAATCCCAGTGGTGAATAAATACCACCAAAATAAAGTTTTATCTGTCTCAAAAAAAATGCTAAAAATTTCATATGGGTACAGTGTTGCATGACCGCGCAATTGTCAAAGTGTGATAGCGCTGAAAACTGGCCTGGACAGGAAGGGGGTGAAAGTGTCTGGACTTGAAGTTGTTAAAGTACAACTACAGCTTACAAAAAAATAAAACCCAAAAAAAAAAACACATATCAGCTGCTACACCATCTCCAGAGCAGATCCTCGGAGGAAGACTCAGTGATCTGCAGTCTAGTGCCAGTTCTCTTCTGGGATGAAAAATGCCCAGTGCCATTCAACCTTCTTCTAACGAGGCCAAAGACACCCCCCTGTGGAAACAAACCATAATGCTGCCCTGGACCTAAAGGAAAATGCAGCAGAGGGCAGCTCTCCACTACTTGATGTGGGTCCCTGCAGCATTCAGAACATTCCCAACCATCGGAGTACTAGAACCAACATCATGTGACTGGCCAGATACTGAAAGGGAGATTTCACTATTGAAAACCAAATACGAAGGGAACCATCATCAGGTGAAATTAGATCTGGGTGTGTCATGACTTCACTAGACATTCTGTCGGCCATTACTTATTATGGTTACAGTAGGAGGTTGGATTCAAATCTTTGTATAACCACTTGACCTCCGAAGACTTACCCCTCCCCCCCCCCCCCCCTCCTGACCAGGCCATACGGCGCTGTGTTACTTTAACTGACAATTGCGTGGTCATACAATGCATGCACATGAATGAAATGTCATTTTTTTTCCCCCCTAAAAATAAAGCTCCCTTTTAGTGGAATTTAATCACCTCTGGTTTTTAATTTTTTGCACTATAAAATAAAAAAAAAAACATTTAGGAAAAAAAAAAAAAAAATCTAAAATAAAAAAAAATGTATCTATATAATTTTTTAATAGAGATGTATAGAATATACACATTTTTTTTTTCAAATATACAAATATTTATTTTTCTAAAAACAAAAAAAAAAAAAATAATATATATATATATATATATATATATATATATATATATATATATATATATATATATATAACCACACACACACATATATATATGTATATACATATACACACACACATATATGTATATACATATACACACATTTTCTGCTAGAAAATCTATCTAATAAAATGTTTGACTAAAAAAAAATCATATCGATAAATCATATTCTGTGACATTATTGGTAAAAAATCCAAATAAGCGTATATTGATTGGTTTGCGCAAGTTATAGTGTCTACAAATGGCGGTGTATATATACACACTTATTTATTTTTTGTATACTAGTAATGGCGGCAATCATATCTTATAGCGGGACTGCAATATTGCGGTGGACAGTCTGACACTGGCACTTTGTGGGAACCAGTGACACTAATACAGTGATGAGTGCTAAAACTATACAAGGACAATTATTACTGACACTGCCTGGGAAGGGGATAAAAATCCAGGGCGATCAAAGGGTTGTGTGCCTAACCAGTGTTTTTGTGTGTATACTGTGCTGTTTTTACTAAACACAATCTGCTAGATTTTATTCCCTGAATAAAAATCTAGCAGATTGCCATTGACATAACTGAGCTCTTCCTTGTTTACATGGCAGAGCTGTGTTCTGTCAGTCTCCACAGCAATCAACAGGTTCCAGTGCGCTTCCATTGGTTGCTCCAGCAGTATGCGTGCCCCCCCCCCATTGAAGAAGTGCGAAATTAAGTTTATATACGTGATTTTACACAGAACGTCTGCCCTGTAGCAGTAAATCTGCTACAGGGTGGACAGCAAGTGGATAATCAAACTGAATCAAAAGATAACTGACCTTAGCACTCTGGATATCTCTTCAATGTTTTAACCCCCTTGGCGCCAGCACCTCTTGGCCCTTTAAGGGGTTTATAAATGCTGGGCAGTGGGGTAGGTTTTGTGACCATGTGACCACTGTTGACTGAGGGTCACGTGATTGGAAAGCACCGGATCACACGCAGAGATCAAGAGATTTCCATAAGCCGCCAGGAATTGTGCTGGGAGTACGCACAATGCATGCTCTGCACAATTCTGTTTTTTTTTTTTTTAGGGTACACATATACAGCCTCTCAGTCTTAAGGCCACCCGCCAAAAGGCCACATATATGCATGTGGTCAGCAGGAAGGAGTTAATGACTACCTCCTGCATGTTTACAAGCTAATCCTTGCTAATAAAGTGCTGAAGATTTCTAGTTCAAGTCTCTGCTGTCCAATCCGATGTAGGATCTGCCCATGGCATTTAGAGAGTAGCTGCTGCACAGCACTTTTAGAAGAGCATTAGGCAAATTATATACACCAATGAGCATGTTAAATCGGTACGCTACTAACCCTCCACATGTCTGCAGAGTGGCAATGACAAAATCACTCCAGCTCCAACTCACTGACATACCTGAAACTGCCAAAGCCGCGGCTCTGCTGCAAAGTCTGTGCAAACATTTCGTATTTTCTGATGTCGTTGTCGCTGACGGAACGGCGAGCAAAGCGCATAGCTTCCTCAAAGTGATCCCGGCGGATTTCAGGTACAGGATCATCCTCTTCCACTTCCTGTATTAGAGGACCAAAAAAATAAATAAATAATTGCCAGAATGGGGAAAAAAAAAAAAAAAAAAAAAACACTACAGACTATACCAGATTCCATGGTTTCCTAGGGTTGAGCAATTTCTGCCTCCCAGAAACATTTCCACTGACATCACTGATCTTTTTATATTGTAAAGTGCTGAGCAAACTGTTGGCGCTATATAAATCCTGTATAATAATAATCTTTTTAGTCATCACTAGGGGGGTAATTATCCCCCAATAACCACTTAAGTGTGAGGAGCATTCTTCCCACCAACCTTCACACTAAATGTATCATGAGTTGTATTTATATAATCAGTGTTAGAAGGGCTTCTCTGAGACTGGAAAGTTACTTCAAGGGTTCCTCTGTGTAGAAAAAGTCTTCTCCAGATAATCACTGCAGTGGTGCTACTGATAAATATATATATATTTTTTTTTTTATATATTTAAAATAAATAAATAAAAAGTGTGTGTGAGATATATATATATATATATACACACACATACATACACACTTTTTATTTATTTTAAATATATATAAATTTATATATATATATATATATATATATATATATATATATATTATATATATATATATATATATATATATATATAGCAAACAGATGGCTCTACACAAGATTGCTAACCATCCTACTCAGTTAACCTGTATGTATACCCCATCTCACTCCCCTTTTATTTGCTCTTTGTTGGAATGGTAAAATACGCCACTGAAAAGAGTTGTGTTGCATCTGTTTGCCAAGAGCAAAAAAAAATACCCATCATGTCAGAAATTCAGAGCTGAGTAATTAGCCTTCCCAATCCCTAACATGGGACTACAGAATGAAAAATCCTTTACAGCTGATCAATTAACTCTGAATTACTCTCGGTCATTCTTGGCGATGCCTTACATGTGTGGTGAAATCGCAGTTTCCATACAAGTGTGCACCCTGTGGTTGCGTCTGCATTGGGGGGGGTGCAGGGCAACAGGAGTTACGGCTAATTTTCTTTTTTAAAACTTTAAAATATTTATTTAACTTTGTTGCCATCACAAGTGTGTTAACAAGCCCCATGTTATTGGGTGTATGCCAGGTACACTTCATGGAGACATTGGGGTCTATTAAATCCTCAATGTCCCCCTTGACCTTCACAGCAGCTTTTCAAGCACAGATCTTGCTATAAATGTAACAGGGTGGCCACACAGATCACTTGTACATTACAGCTGGCAGAGCAAAAATCGAGCGCAATCTCATGTCTTGGTCTGCTCTCCATCTGTCTTACCAACGGTGAATTTCTCCTTTAACCCCTTCATGCCTAAGGGTAAAACAAATCTAAATGCCTAAGCACAATTTTGCAGAGTTGACATGTGTTAGTAAATCCGTACATATCATCACAACTACTTTGTACATCCAGGTGAATTATACGGTTTTTTTTCAGGACAAAATTTGGTGGTAAATGGTAATGGTTCTCTCTATCTCTTGATTCTGTTGATTTTTTTTTTTTTATTAAAGGAAAACTGTCCCAAAATAGTAAAAAAAAAAATAATCTTTTTACATTTAGCTGTGTGTTTCTTGTTATTACCATATCCTAGCACCAAAAACAACCCAAAATACATTTTCCAGCTCTTGACGATTGCAGCGATACCATATATGTGTATTTTATTTGTTGTTTGTACCCGTAGTACCGCCCAGAAACAAGAGTCCACATTTTGTTTTTTTTTTTACCTAAAACACACTGGCACCAAATTTTTTTTTTTAAATCCTGACCTTTGACCCTGACCTTTTGACTTTGACCCAAATACTTACCCCGGCACTGAACTAGATCAAACCTTGATCTAGGTATTTTTTCTTTTTTTTTTTTATTACAAACATTTTTTCCCCCCTCTATGCCAGGAGTTAGAGAGATACAATGCAGCTCTCCTCCATTCATAGAGAGAGAAAAAAAAAAAAAAAAAAAGAGGGCCGGGCTGCACAGTGACTGATCACTGTGACAGCCAATCAGAGGCTATCACAGCGTTCATGTGACCCGGAATCTGGATTCCCAGGTCCCGATCGTTAGAACGGGACCAGGTGCTCTCAGTGACACTGTGGTCTTTGTACTGGGAGCACGCTGTGTGGCGCGCTCCCAGCAGGACAGGTACGCAAATATGCGGCCCCACGGAAAAAAAAAAAAGCCCAGTTCTGTGAGACCGCATATTTTGTGTTACGTTGGCGTCAAGATAAGAAAACAAATCTATAGACATTTTGGCTTCTGAAAACTCATGAGGAACCGATAACAGGGATTTTAAATCTCCCAATCAGTCACTATTACCGCCCTGCCCAAAACAAGATAGATAGGGAGCAGTGCACATTTGGGAAAGACTAATCAGACCTGGTAGGACAAACAAAACCAAGGCCTACGAAGCCTTTTCACCAGGTGCCATGTACACTAACAACTGGGGTGTTCAAACTTGAAAGTACACCCCATGCCACTGATTCTGTATTCGTAGTGGAAGCCTCTCGGTGATTGTAGACAAATGGTCAGCTTGCTATAGAGGCCCAACTGTAGCTAATGGGGAGTCATGTACTTCTGCACTGCCGAGCATGGCAACTACTACATACCATGGCTGAAGGGTTTGTCTGTCTCTCCCGCTCTCTCCTGATCTCATTCTCGATGGATTCACGAATTGCCAGTTTGCAGGCCCGCTGACAGATCTCAGTCAAGTCAGCACCAGAGAAACCATTGGTCATCTTGGCCAGGAAGTCCAGGTCCACATCCTGGAAAAATAAACACACAAATGATGATCTCTACAATCACTGAGTGTTACCAAGAACAAAAATAACATTCCGAACATAAATAAGTTTTACATTTTTAAGGGCCAATGTTGACCGGCTATTGTTCATTTCACTTCTCTCCCTTTACAATTCAGAATATACAGTGCCTGAAAAAGTATTCATACCCCTTGAGATTTTCCACATGTTGTCATGTTACAATCAAAAACATCAATGTATTTTATTGGGATTGGATGTGATAGACCAACACAAAGGGGCACATAATTGTGAAGTGGAAGGAAAATGAGAAATGGTTTTCACAGATTTGAAAAAAAAAATGTTGAAAAAAGTGTGACGGCATTTGTATTCGGCCCCCCGGAGTCAATACTTTGTAGGACCCCTTTCCATGCAATTCCAGCTGCAAGTCTTTTTGGGGATGTCTCTTTGCACATCTAGAGAGGGACATTTCTGCCCATTCTTCTTTGCAGAATCGCTCAAGCTCTGTCAGATTGAATGGAGAGTGTCTGGGAACAGCAATTTTCAGGTCTGGCCACAGATTCTCCATTGGATTTAGGTCTGGACTGTGACTGGGCCATTCTAATACATGAAGATGCTTTGATCTAAACCATTCCATTGTAGCTCTGGCTGGATGTTTTGGGTCGTTGTCCTGCTGGAAGGTGAACCTCCGCCCCGGTCTCAAGTCTTTTGCAGACTAACAGGTTTTTCTTCTAAGATTGCCCTGTATTTGGCTCCATCCATCTTCCCTTCAACTCTGACCAGCTTCCCTGTCCCTGCTGCAGAAAAGCTTCGCCACCACATGATGCTGCCACCACCATGTTTCACAGTGGGGATGGTGTGTTCAGGGTGATATACAGTGTTATTTTCCACCATGACACACAGGTGGACTCTATTTACTAATTAGGTGACTTCTGAAGGCAATTGGTTCCACTAGATTTTAGTTAGGGGTATCAGAGTAAAGGGGGCTGAATACAAATGCATGCCACACTTTTCATATATTTGTAATACATTTTAAAAATCATTTATCATTTTCCTTCCACTTCACAATTTTGTGCCACTTTGTGTTGGTCCTCACCCCAACCCTCCACGTAGTCTTCTGGGAGACACGACAGGTCCCAGAAGACTACAGGACCAATAAGGAAGCGCATGCGCAAGGGGCACCCGGCTGTGAAGCAGCAAGCTGTCAAAGCCGGGTGCCCACACTGAAGATGCCGGCGTCTGGAACACAGGACGGACGGTAAAAACAGGCTGCAGGGAGGACACAGTGGGATCATAAGACAGGTGAGTGGCAGTTTTTTTTTTTAAAGTCAGCAGCTACAGTTTTTATAGCTGCTGACTTATTTTTTTTACAGTGTGAGTGGAATTCCGCTTTAAGTTTCATGATTATGGCTTACAGCTACCGAAAACCCAAAATTCAATATCTCAGAAAATTAAAATATTGTGAAAAGGTCAATGTTGTACACTCATGGTGTCACACTAATTGGCTAATTAACTCAAAACACCTGTAAAGGTTTCCTGAGCCTTTAAATGGTTTTCTCGGTCTGGTTCAGTAGGTTGCACAATCATAGGGAAGACTGCTGACTTGACAGTTGTCCAGAAGACAGTCACTGACACCCCCCCACAAGGAGGGTAAGTCACAAAAAGTCATTGCTAAAGAAGCTGGCTGTTCGCAGAGTGCTGTATCCAAGCATATTAATGGAAAGTTAAGTGGAAGGAAACAGTGGGGTAGAAAAAGGTGCACAAGCAGCAGGGATAACCGCAGCCTTCAGATGATTTCATTTCATTTGGAAATCAAGGTCCCAGAGTCTAGAGGAACAGTGGAGAGACCCAGAATCCAAGTTGTATGAGGTCCAGTTGTGAACTTTCAAGTCCAAAAGTCAGCGCGCAGCCGTCTACCAGGATATTCTAGAGCATTTCATGCTTCCCTCTGCTGACCAGCTTTATGGAGATACTGATTTCATTTTCCAGCAGGACTTGGCACCTGCCCACACTGCCAAAAGTACCAATACCTGGTATAATGATCAGGGGATCACTGTGCTTGATTGGCCAGCAAACTCATGTAACCTAAACCCCATAGAGAATTTGTGGGGTATTGTCAAGTGGAAGATGTGGGACACCAGACCCAACAATGCAGAAGATCTGAAGGCTGCTATCAAACCACCCTGGGCTTCCATAACACCTCAGCAGTGCCACAGACTGATCGCCTCCATGCCACGCCGCATTGATGCAGTAATTCATGCAAAAAGAGCCCCGAACAAGTATTGAGTGCATACTATACTGGACTTGGACATACTTTTCAGTATGCCAACATTTCTGTATTAAAAATCCTTTTTTTTAAATTTTTTTATTGGTCTTATGTAATATTCTGATTTTCTGAGATACTGAACTTTGGGCTTTCACTAGCTGTAAGCCATAATTACCAAAATTAAAAGAAAGAAATGCTTGAAATGTATCATTCTGTGTGTAATGAATCTATATGAGTTTCACGCTTTGAACTGAATTACTGAAATAAAAATTTAACTTTTAGATAATATTCTAATTTATTGAGATGCACCTGAATATGCGGATTGGATGTGGTTTGAACAGCATCCAATCTGCATGACGTGAAAAAACATTGCTCCCTTTGGTGCCTATTCACATATGTCCAGTGCACTGGCGGTGCGGATTCAGTGAGGTTTTAAAGAGTCATGTACGATTTCTGAGCAGTGTGGTCCGGTTTAGGTGCGGATTATAGGCTATTGACTTCTATGGGAAGTGTTTCTAAACTGCATGTGTGTGAACAAGATAAGATCCTGAGCTAATGATGTCCTGAACCTGATGTAAACCTGACATGAACCACTGAAAATTACTCTATCAATAAAGCTGTGAAACCTGAGCTTTAATCCACACCGCACCTGTGAATCAGCTCTTAAAGTTGTAAGCATCACATATTTTTTAGGGGTTTGGAGGAGGGGTGACTTGCCTTGGCAACAGGAGACTTCCTCAGGTTTGCCTTTAGGATAGCAATGCGAGACTTCTCATCGGGTAGTGGAATGTAGATGAGCTGATCCAGACGGCCAGGACGCAGGATGGCGGGGTCAATGATGTCGGGTCTGTTGGTGGCTCCAATGATGAAGACGTTCTTTTTGGTGGACATTCCATCCATCTCAGTCAGGATTTGGTTGATGACTCTGTCAGCAGCGCCACCACCATCACCGATGTTGCCACCACGGGCCTTGGCGATGGAGTCCAGTTCATCAAAGAAGAGGACACATGGAGCGGCCTGCCTAGCCTGCAAAAGGAAACCGCAAACATTTACTTCTTCTAAACAAATGAATGAAGTGCTCAGCACAGCCCAGAAACGTCAAGTCACTCCATTCAAACAGAGACCCTTACCTTGTCAAAGATCTCTCTGACATTGGCTTCAGACTCTCCAAACCACATGGTGAGCAGCTCAGGGCCTTTGATGGAGATAAAGTTGGCCTGGCACTCATTGGCAATGGCCTTGGCTAACAAAGTCTTACCACACCCAGGTGGCCCGTAGAAAAGCACACCTTTAGATGGTGTCATGCCAAACTTCAAAAATTTGTCTGGATGCTCCACAGGATACTGAAAAAAATACAGAACAAAAAGAAGCTTATTTTATTTCTGTAGTAACACCATATTATATAGCATTTAGTAAGCATTGGAAAGCTGCTTTTCCTTCTTACATTCTCTTTACTCCTCCACTACCTTGCTTGCCCACTGGAGATAAGAAATACAAAAACAAAAGCCCTCTGTGAGCGCAAGGTCTGGTTTGAGTCAACACTGACACAGGGCTAAGGAATTTCTTCCTCTTTCCACAAAAAATGCTCAGACCTGGTGACTGGTCATACAAGCACCCAGCACTGTAACCTGCGATTGGTCACTCAAGTACCCAGCACTGCAACATAGAGAAAGACCAGAAGGAATCCACATACACCCAGAAGTACCATATTTCATTTTTTCTTTGTCAGCAGAACGTGGGAGACAAGGTAACATACAAATGGGGGGGGGGGGCTATTAAGTGAACCTACTGCTTCCAAAAAAAATCAAGTTCAATTAATAGAAAGAAAAGAAAAAGAAAGAAAGAAAGGAAAAGAAAGCAAAAGAAAAAGAAAGCAAAAGAAAGAAAGGAAAAGAAAGCAAAAGAAAAGAGAAAGAAAGAAAGGAAAAGAAAGAAAGGAAAAGAAAGCAAGAGAAAGAGAAAGAAAGGAAAAGAAAGCAAGAGAAAGAGAAAGAAAGGAAAAGAAAGCAAGAAAGGAAAAAGAAAGCAAAAGAAAGAGAAAGAAAGCAAAAGAAAGAGAAAGAAGAAAGAGAAAGAAGAAAGAAAGAAAGAGAGAAAGAAAGAAAGAAAGAAAAAAAGAAAAGAGAGAAAAAAAGAGAAAGAGAGAGAAAGAAAGAAAAAAAAGATAAAGAAAGCAAAAAAAAAAAGAAGAAAGAAAGAAAGGAAAAAGAAAGACAAGACAGCAGAGCTGTTTCTTTTGCCAAGCATAGCATTCATTGATTGATCTAAACAAAATATCCCATGAAGATGTTCTGTCTGTGATGGGCCTGCTTTACAATCATAAGGAAACATGCAGCTTCACCCACCACTGCCTAAGGCATGCTGAAGAGGGGAGACGTGTATCTCCTGAATTCAGCCCTATGGGTACAATACCAGAATCACAGGAATCCCACTAACAGTACTTAACAGAATAGATTTTTGTTGAGATTTCTGTAACCATCTTAGCCCCACGGAGCACTTCAATGAAGGAAAATACTACAGAGCATAACACATAAAATGAGTGAAGGTATGTGATAACTTTGAATTTTGAATGAACATTACAAATATGCAACTCTCTCAAAAAAAGTAGAGTAGAACTATATAATAAACAAAGCCTGTCAGAATGCCAAAAAACAAAAACGTTAGGAGCATCAAGCAGAAAATGCTATATAGTCAATAAGTGTGAAGACCGATGTCCATGAAGTCCAACCTCTCCTAGTTCTCCAACAGGTAAGGAACTTGCTGAGCCAACTCCACCATCATGATACATGATCTGTGTTCTGACAGACTCACCTGTACCAATTCCTGCAGCTCCCTTTTAACATCTTCTAAGCCACCGATATCCTCCCAGGTGACCTGTGGCACCTCCACCACTGTCTCACGCAGTGCTGATGGGTTGCTCTGACTAAGTGCCCACTGTAAGGAAGGAGCACAAAGATACGTGTTACATCCAGGAAATAATATTGTAAAACGGACTGCTTAGCTGCCCATATGTTAAACCCATAATATGAGGAGAGGCAACTTCGTGAATTTTAAAGAAAAAAAAACACAAGAGTGGCCAACCAAAAGCAGTGCTGTTGGGAAATTTTATGGAGCTCCTGGAGCCCCTCAACATGAATTTTTAAGGTGTTCATTTTTTTAAGAGGGGGTACTAGTCCCTATTCAGAGCTAGGAGACAACATTAAAAGAATAGTATTGAAAGAATTTGCAGGCATCAGACATACCCTGAAGTCATCCATAGTGACAGCCAACGAATTCATGACTTCAGCATCTATGGTTTCATCTTCTAAGTCTATGAGGTCCATCTTCTTCCGGATGGCCTGGAGAGCAGCTTCGGAGCACAGCGCAGCAAGATCTGCCCCAACATGGCCATGTGTCTCATTTGCTACCTAAAGAGAGAAGAACAGTCAGAAAGAAAAAAAGTACACACTTCCCACCATCAACAGCAAAATATTTTTTTGAATCAAATGGTAAATCTTCAAGTCTTGCAGGCTCCACACAACAAATTCTGATCTTTCATTTCTAATGTCACCGTGCGGATAGCAGAAAAAATAACCCAATAAAGGCCTGATCATAGAAGACATTGTTACATGCGCTTCTGCTTTGGTGTGCACTAGAAAGGCCTCTGAATACATGAATGTATTATGGCACCTTACCCCCTTGGTGCCGGCGCCTCTCGGCCCTTTAAGATTTCAGAAGCCGGGAGGCGGGGCAAGGTTTAGGCTCCTATATATATATATATATATATATTATATATATATATATATTAAATATATTGAATTCAGCCAAAATTGGACCATTTCAAATATATGTCAAAATATTTGGGAAGAATATTTTTTAACCCCTTGGCGCCGGCACCTCCCAGCCCTTTAAGGGTTCCAGAAGCCGGGAGGGGGGTTTTAGGGTCATGTGACTGCCATGATTCGCCATCATGGCGGTCACATGATCGGGAAAGGTCCCGATCCAAAGAGGTGATCGGGACCTTTCCATGAGCACCGGACATGTGTGCTGGGAGCGCGCAGGGCGCGTGCTCTCAGCATGGTTTTTTTTTTTTTTTTAATAAACTGCAAATGTGCAGCGCCAAGAGATTAAAGGGGAACTAAACCTAACATTTTACCAAAAGAAAACTTAAATGTCATTACATTCTTAAACATATCAATTTTTTTTTTCTGAAATGTATTCACTAGGGTTCTGAATGCAGTGTATACCAGGGGTAGGCAACCCCCGGCACTAGTGCCAGAGGTGGCACGCAACAGCATCAAGGACAGCACCCAAGGGGACTCCTGGGAGACCCACCTCCCAAACAATAAAGCTGGCCAGCGGCTGCATACAGAGCAAGAAGCGCGACTGTTGCCCACCCATCTCTATTCCCATTGGTGTCCGTTCCTGTGTTGCTCTCTCCACACTGAAGCGGTGTCGAGTCGGATTCCCCAGGCTGCTTGCTCTCACTTTGAAAAGGTATATTCAGTATTTTTCCTCCCCTGTGGTATAGCACTCTTATGCAGGTCATAAATGGGTCGAATTCTGAACGATTTTTCATCTGAAAATCAAAAACGTCGTTCGCTTAGTAATCCGATGGCGCCATCAATGATTTTGAAACTCGGCCGACCGAGTCATAAAGTTCACCCCATATAACAGGCGAAACGTCTGTTCCTTCCAGGTCACGGCTCATACGCATATTCTTTTCAGAAAAAACGATCGTACGATTTGACCATCGAGTCGAAAATCGGTTGTTTTTCACAAATTTTCCCACATGCCTCCGTTTTAAAGGGTGCCTCCGGACTGTCCGTTTTAAAAGGGTGCCTGCCTCCGGACTGTCCGTTTTAAAGGGTGCCTCCGGACTGTCCGTTTTAAAGGGTGCCTCCGGACTGTCCGTTTTAAAGGGTGCCTCCGGACTGTCCGTTTTTAAAGGGTGCCGGACTGTCCGTTTTTTAAAGGGACTGTCCGTTTTAAAGGGTGCCTCCGGACTGTCCGTTTTAAAGGGTGCCTCCGGACTGTCCGTTTTAAAGGGTGCCTCCGGACTGTCCGTTTTAAAGGGTGCCTCCGGACTGTCCGTTTTAAAGGGTGCCTCCGGACTGTCCGTTTTAAAGGGTGCCTCCGGACTGTCCGTTTTAAAGGGTGCCTCCACTGTAAAAAAGGGTGCCTTGAAAAAAAAGTTAAGCAACACTGCCTCATCTTACATCTACATGTAGAGAAATAAATTAGAGGCCCATAGGGCCCTTGAAGTCCCTTGAGCAAGAACTCCCGAGGTTCTCAAACAAACTACAGTCTTCACCTGAAGAGAAAGCAGCTAGGTAAGACTCCAGGAGTCTAGGTCTTAATGGGAAAGCCCCTGCAAAACAGCTGGTAGCCCAGTAAAGAAAAAAGTGGCAAAAGAAACCCTTTCATCCCATCCTAACAGGAAGTACACTAGAAAATTTGTTAGAAAACTCATTTCAGGAATGATCACTCAATTTTCAAATCTGTAAATGGGGTCAAAGTAGAACAGCACAGTGGCTAAATGGTTAGCACTTCCACCTGGCAGTTCGAATCCCAACCATGGCACCAACTGCCTGGAGTTTGCATGTTTTCCCTGTGCCTGTGTGGGTTTCCTTCGGGTATTCCGGTTTCCTCCTACACTCCAAAGACATGCTGGTAGGTGAATTGGCTCCTGTCTAAATTGTCCCTAGTATGTATGAATGTGAGTTAGGGACCTTAGATTGTACACACCTTGAGGGTTAGGGACTGATGTGAATGTACAATATATATGTAAAGTGCCACATTGATGGCGCTATGTAAGTACCTGTAATAAATTAAAATAAATAAAGCGACGTTCTATTTGGACCACGAGAAAATTTGAAAGCGCAAGATGGAAATTTTGTCTTAAACAAATTCCCAAAATTCTGAAAATGTGATTTTTGTTTGAGAAATGACATTCAATCCAAAGTCAACTGTTAGAAGAAAACTAAAATTGAAGCACTTCTGAAAAACACTCATCAAGATATCAAACATATCGGTGAGAATTTTTGAACAAATGTTCGAAAATCTACTAGTGCGTGGCCAGCTTAACATAGCACCATCCTCAGCAGATAGGAGCGAGACGGGAGTGACTTTTGGGGGTGGGGGGACCCGTTGTTCCTCTTATGCGTAGCTCACCCTGTGCCTGTTAGGGGCGCAGGGTGCTCAGTCCGAATATTGTGTAGACATGTATAGGTGGGGGTGTGGGGGTTGTCCATTGTTCACTGCCAGGTGGTTGCCCCATTGTTCTAGTGTGTCTCACTTGCCAGCAAACTATTATGGGATGCATGTGTTCCCCTATTATCTACTGCCACTTGGTGTATCCTATTGTGTGTCTTGGTTTGGTGGGGTGTTTCCGGCAGCCCTTCCCCCTGATGGGTCGGCCTGCTGATGTGTTTCCTGTTCCTGGTTGTATTTCCCTGCCCTGTTGTTAAAATAAAGCAGTTGACTCCCTGTCTTAAGAAGCCTGTGGTGCTGTCTCGTCTTGTATGATCAGTGGTGGTGTCCTTGGATTTGTGTTCGGACAGGGAAGCGGAAATGCCCAAGTGCTGTCTGGGTCTAGTTCCGTTACAAGGAGTATTTAGTTCCCCTTTAAAACATGCATCTGTTGTAGACATAGAACTAAGGAACCATTCAATATAAAAACCAAACCTGTTCTAGATCCACGTCATCAGCCAGCTTCATGTTTTTGGTGTGTATCTGAAGAATTTCCAGCCTTCCAGTAGCATCAGGAATTCCAATATCAACCTCTCTGTCAAAGCGACCTAAAGTGGAAAGAAGCACTTAATCAGTGAGCTGTATTACCCAGGGATACCCACAATGCCAGAATAGGTGTCAGGAGGGGAAATGGGTCAGAACTGTGAGGTTTGAGGTGCAATACTGGCTGAGGGCCAGCCCAAGACAAAGACTCAGTATAGGATGACAGATGTCTCCCATGATATTAAATTGGTCTTTACCAGTCTCTCAGAGCATGGGGACTCTCTGATGTAGCAGCCTGAGTGTGAAAGCCCTTGGACCATTACTTAGGATACATCATTTTCCTGATGAAGGCATAAAATGGTTTACAGACCAATCACTATATAAATGGACTCACCAAAACGTCGAAGTGCTGGATCAATGCTGTTGGGTCGGTTGGTGGCAGCCATGACGATGACGTGCGCTCTTTGTTTTAGACCATCCATAAGCGTTAGCAGCTGAGACACAATACGACGCTCCACCTCTCCATGTGTCTACAGAGCCCAAGAGATAAATTCATTACAATGCGTGTCATGTACTTATTTATCATGAGAATATAAAAAAAAAAATGTGCATTATGGAAAAGTTCTTATTGTTTTAAGTATGATGTTTATCTCTACCTCCTGAAACATAATACAGGCGTGCGAGGTTTATGTACGCTTCGGTAAACGTTATTTTCGGTTAACGTATGAAAATCCATTGAAAATAATGCCTCAATTTACAAATTTTTTTCACAATACGAACGGATTAATTGGTTTTCAATGCATTCACGATTTTTTTTTTTATTAAATCATGTTCCTGTACAGCATTTATGCCTTTAAAGTGCACTTCATAAAGAGCTTCAAACAGATAAACAGATAAGTTTTTTTTTTTTTAACTGCAATAGGAACGGATTGTTTTTCAATGCATTTATGAATTTTTTTCGCAATACGAACGGATTAATTGGTTTTCAATGCATTTTTAAAAAATTTTTAATCATGTCCCTGTACAGTATTTATGCCTTTAAAGTGCACTTTATGAAGAGTTTTGAACAGATAAAATACTTTTTTTTTTTTTTTTTTTTTTTTTTTACTTTTTTCTGACCCCCGGAATGGATTAATTGTTTTACACTGCATTTTCAAATTTTTTTCAATGCATTTACCAATTTTTTTTTAATCATGTCCCTGTACAGTGTTTATGTCTTTAAAGTGCACTGTATAAAGAGTTTTGAACAGATTTCTTTTTTACTTTTTTCTGACTTCCGGAACGAATTGTTTTTCAATGCATTCCTATAGGAAATCGTGTTTCGGTTTACGAATTTTTCGCAATACGAAAAGTCCCACGGAACAAATTAAATTATTAAACCGAGGTACGCCATTTTCAGGAACACAGGACTTAACTCCTTCGTGACCAGAGTTCTTGTAGACTACAAAACTGTGTGGGCTCACAGGCATCCAACACCCCCCAAAAGTACTGAATATATGGAGAACACGGACACAGACTGCACACTAAAGGGAGGGGACACTTTACCTTTTTAATTAACCTGACAGAGATCACTTCTCTGGAGTATCAACAGCAGACTGTTTTGGTCGGTGACTAATTACTGAAGAAAGATTCAAGCATGGCAGCCAAGCAGCTACAATTTTCAGGAGAGCTTAGCAATAGCAGTTTCTAAGTTTCTTTAGTTTGTCGGTTTTGCTTTAGGCTAGCGGCTCCTAGACTAGATATATTAATAGACTGTCTTTAAAAGGTGAAACCTAAAACACTAAAAACCTGTCCGAGAAGACATGCCTCTGTCATACAAACCAGTTTTTGTTGCTGAATTAAATTAGAAACTGAAAAGGTAAAAAAAAAACCAAACAAAAAACCCCATACACAAGCCAAATAGTACATTAACCCCATGACAGAATACTTCTTCCATAAACCCACCTTCTCTCTCTTGGGAGCAATGGCATCCAGTTCATCAATAAAGATAATGGCGGGGGCATTCTTCTCGGCTTCCTCGAAGGCTTTGCGAAGGTTGCTCTCAGACTCACCAGCCAACTTACTCATAATCTCAGGACCTAGGAAGACAAAGCAAACACACAACTGTCATCAAACAGCCATCATCTGCAAAGGACGGGACACTCAGTTTTCTGTTTTTTTCACTAGTTTAGTAATGAAAACAGTATCTTTCCCTCTATCTCCCCTCTGAGACTATTAGCATTTAGGAGATGCAGATCACCAGGAGAATCACATGCAAGACAATATAATACTTCAATAGACAAAACGATGCAAAAAGCACTAGACCCAAATACATCTCTACCTTAGGAAACTTATCACAACGCACAGCTTAGAGTTGGAAGTTTAACCACTTGTCCTCCTGAGGATTTACCCCCCTTAACCTCCCTAGCGGTCTGATTATGTCAGTATTTCTGTGCTCAAAGCGGTACATTTTTTTGCATGGAAATATATGTCTTTTTTTTTTATTGTAGGCCTATAATTTTTAGGAATAACTCCCTGAAATCTGTCCGAACAAGAGTCTAGTAAACATCCCGGGGATGATAAAATTTGAATCACAAAATCATAAATTATAATTTAATAAAAATCATAAAAAAAATATAATAATAAATACATTTAATTCAATAATGTAATCAAACCAAAAACACTGAAATGTGAAATAGAGCGCCAAGTTCGCACATCGCTGAGCTCAGTCGCAGAATCGTTTTCAGTGTCTGATGACGAATTTCCCCCACCAATCATTATCACTCAATTCTGCAAGTGGTTCTGATTTACTATCGCTGTTCTCTAGCCGGTCTAAAACCGCGTCTGACCTAAAGGGACGCTTTTTGGACGCCATGGACGTTTCTCAGTTTCCAGGCAGAAAGAACAGTAAAAATGCAGGCAGGGCGCCGGACAAAGCACTCGAAACAAAATGTATGTGAAATGGTTTGATACAGGAATGTTATACTATGTGATTTTAGTGTAATTAGTGAATGTCACTTTCAAAATTTTTGAATTTCCCGCCAGTTCCGTCCCCCGTATGTCCTGACGCTCACAGGGACCGGAAGACGGATGCCGGCATCGGCAGGAGGAGATGGTGGGGGACACTGCAGGGGGGACATCGCGGGAGCGCAGGACAAGGTAATAGAAGAAGAGATCCCGGAGCAACGCTGCAGTGTATTCCCGAGTGTAGCTCGGGGTTACCGCTTGTGGTGCTGAAACTTTACCCCGAGCTACACTCGGGAATACCACCAGGGGGGTTAATGACCAGGCCTTTTTTGCTACTCGGCGCTGCACTATTTCAACTGGTAATTGCGCGGTCATGCAACGCTGCACCCAAACAAAATTTACGTCCTTTTTTTCACACAAATAGAGCTTTCTTTCAATGGTATTTGATCACCTGTGCGCTTATTTTTTGCGCTATAAACAAAAAAAAAATACCAAAATGTTTGGGGAAAAAACCCCAATATTTTTTACTTTCGGCTATAAAAAAATATTTAGTAAACCCAATTAGTTAGAAATTTAGTTCAAAATGTATTCTGCTACATGTTTTTGGTAAAAAAAAATCCCAATAAGTGTATATTGATTTGTGTAATAGTTATAACGTCTACAAACTATGGTAAAGATACTGCAATGTACGCCATTTTTTGCTATTCAGCGTTGTGCTAGTTTAACTGACAATTGCGCAGTCATGCAATGCTGTACATAAATTACATGTCCTTTTCACACAAATAGAGATTTCTTTTGGTTGTATTTGATCACCTGTGTGCTTTTTATTTTTTGATTCTGCGAACACTGCGGTTTTGTGTGTAATGTATTAAGTGACAGTGACCTACTGACACTGCACTTGCTGGGGGAGAATGCGAATTGGAGGGGGGGGGTTAAGCATAGGGGCTGTTGGTTCTGACAGGTGCCGAGGCTGATCCCGCTAACGCTGCGTTTTTAGGGACGCTATACTAATGTGAACGCGGGTATAGTGCTGATCTGCTCAAAGATATTGATCCGTTCAGACATTATACCAGCAATGGAGGTTTGTTGCGTATGTGAGCGTGTTCCTGGCAATCAAGGGGTTAAATGTGATTACTGGTGTACTGACGAGCAATCTGACGCTATCTGGGAGGGGCGCTGACTGACACTAATGCTTTTACTCAGTTTATTTTGATTCTTCTCTCTCTGGGAGGGAATGCTTCCAAAGAGAGATTTTTTATCACTTCCTGTCCTGTGTAACTGTCAACACAGGACAGGATAGGACAGGGATCGATCATCCGACTTGGACCGGACATCACTGGCCTAAATTGGATGATTGATCCCTCGGGGATCAATTCGGGGCACCCGTGGGTTGGCGGGGGAGCGCATGCTCCCCCGGCGAAAACGCAAATCATGTATATATACGTGATTTTGCACACAGGGGCTGCCCTGCAGCAGTAAATGTACTGTGGGCAGTCCTAATGTGGTTAATCTGCTTATATTTTGCCTTCCCTGGTACCGCAGAGACTCCTCCTCAAAATCACAACATTTTAAAAGAGAACCTTTCCATTTTCCTACATAACTTATTTTATTTTAGTGACATCGCTAGGTCTCTGACAGGGTGTTCCCAGCATCCTGCCTCAGTACGCCTCTAGAGCCGTCAGCTTTGATGCAAATATTAACCACTTCCAGTCCGGACACTTTCCCCCCCCTTCCTGTCCAGGGCAATTTTCAGCTTTCAGCGCTATCACACTTTGAATGACAATTGCGCGGTCATGCAACGCTGTACCCATATGAATTTTTTAGGTTTTTTGAGACAGATAAAGCTTTATTTTGGTGGTATTTATTCACCACTGGGATTTTTACTTTTTTTGCTATGTAAATGAAAAAAGTCAAAAAGTTTGAAAAAAAGTGTTTCTTATAAAATTTTGCAAATAAAAAATATTTCATCATAAATCTTGGCCAAAATGTATTCAGTTATCTATTTAGTAAAAAAAAAAAAAAAAAAAAATAACCCAAATTAGTTTATAACCAAAAATAATTTTTAAACTTTTTTTTACATTTTACTTTACTTTTTATCATTTATGGGTTTTTTTTTTTTTTACATATTGTCACCCTAAGCAGTACAGTGTCACCATGGCGACATTGTAGTACTTGTGGAGGGTGATGAAGATTTTTTTTTTTTTTTTTTTTTCACCGATTGCTTTTACAGCCTATATGGGTGTAAAAGCTATTATTACCTCCTCCTCTCTGGCTGCATTCTTGCAGCCATTGTGAAATACTGCGTGAGCTGTGATTGGTCACAGCTTGTCACATGGTACAAGGCTGTTGTGAATGGCCCTGTACCATGTGACCTCTGTGATCATTCACAGATTTCCCACATAGTAAGCAATGTCAGAAGTGACATCTTGCTTACTACTCTGCATGTGATCACCGATTGGCCAATCAGTGATCACATGATCGGGACCTCGCAGAGAGGTCTCGTACGACGATCGGTATTCTGCTGTGTCCGGAGGACACAGCGGGCACTGGATCGCAATGCTGTGCACTCCCAGGGAGCGCGCACAAGTAGGGAGGCCATTTATAAATGGCCACCTGACCCTGCACTGCCACCGTCCAGCCAATTATATACAACGGCCGGACGGGAGGTGGGCAAAATGCCTTGATGGGTAATGTCGCTCTGGAGGAATGGATATTCCTAGGCAGACTGTATCTGCATGCAGACCACCTTAGGCTATAACTACATGTGGTGCTAAGCCTCCCTGATTGAACTGTAAGGCTTAGAAGGAAAAGGCTAGATGATGCTGGACGTTCTCCAGCCAAGGTGGGCTCAACCAGGCATGCTGTAGCTTCTAATGCACAGTGTAAGAAGCTCAAAATTGTGTGAATATTCACTTCAACTATCCAACCATGTGAAATGTAAATGCCTGTTCACTGAATACTGAATTATGAGCAAATGAAATATGCAATTAAGCACTGCGCACTAAACGTGTATGAAAAGGAAAAAAAACATTTCTCACCATTGATGAGGAAGAAGAAGGCGCCGGTTTCATTAGCTACAGCTCTTGCAATCAGGGTTTTTCCAGTTCCTGGAGGTCCATACAGCAGGATACCACGCGGAGGCTGCATTGTACAAAAAAGGAATGGTCACTGACACCAGGTCACTATGTGAAACAAATCAGGCATTAATCTTTTATTTCTGTCATTACTCTGTTGGTTTCAGAGACCACCAATAACTGCTCTGAGTGACATATATTTACTTTGAATTGTACGTTTACACACAAAAAAAGAAGAAGCAAAAAACACATTCAATACATCTTTTTGGTGAATGCACATTTATCCATGTTGTCTCCTTAAAAGCGGAGTTCCACTCACCTGTCAAAAAATAAAAGTCAGCAACTACAAAAAATGTAGCTGCTGACTTTTAAAAAAACAGCCACTTACCTGTCTCTCGGTCCCGTGCTGTGTCCCCCGCAGCCCGTTTCACCGGCCGTCCTGGATTCCAGGAGGCCGGCATCTTGAGTGTGGGCATCCAGCGGCTTCATAGCCGGATACCCACTGCGCATACGTGAATAGAGCTGCGCTTCATGAATGGTCCTGTAGTCTTCTGGGACCTGTTACGTGTCCCAAAAGACTACAGGGAGGTAGGGAGGACACCTAGGCGATCGGACTGGAAGTGGGAGCGGATGCTTGTCAAATTCGGGTACCCGCTACCCCCAGCCCACCCAGGGCAATCCTTAATGGGGAGCGGGGGAGCAGTCCTTAAAGCGGAACTTCCCCTTTTGGGTGGAGCTCCACTTTAAAAATGCTGCAAGTAGAGAAAAATAACCTTTGAGCCTGCCAGAAATCTAGTGAGTGGACAATGCTGCTGCACTAAAATCCCAAGGAATGTGTCAATCCTGTATGAAACAAATCTTACCCAAGCTAAAAATGGCTATGAATAAAACTTTGTGAAACCGAAAAACGTCAGTTCATGGATCCTGTATTTATGTAACTAATAAAGATTTTTATTAAGAAGCTTTCAGAATTGCCGGCTACTTGTATTGTGAGTGTTGTCAATCCTGCCCTGGCCTGGTGGACTACAGAACAACGTCCCAATCTCATCAACAAAAGTGGAAGGTATTCTTTAGTCCAACTGGGGAGAACTCAAACAGAGCTGACAACCCTGCCTGGGATTTCAGTGCAACAAAGCCAGCATTATCTGATTGCTATAGGAAGTTGGGTGCTCAAAGAATTGATGGTATTAAGAGGAAAACAGATAAAAATGGGCATATTGGGGATGCACCAAAATTTTGGTGGCCAAAGACACCCCTTTCGGCCTTAATGAAAAAAAAAAAAAAAAAAAAAAAAAAAAAAAAACACTGATAACAGGTGCTAAAAAATAAAACCGCCCCATACCCGCCGTTGCCACCGCCAGCTCACCCGCTGCTGCCCGATAGTTCTCAGCCTTACCAGAAAAACCATCAAACAATCCCAGAGCTGGGCATGGAGATGAGCAAAGGAAAGATGGCTTCCACTCATCTCTATCCTCTTGGAGGACCACTTCCGGTTCCAGGCATTTTTTTTTTTTTTTTTAAAGCGCTAGATCAATGCTTTTTTTTTGATCCAACGGTTTACATTACAGAGGAGAGATGTGGGGTCTTATTGACCCCATATCTCTCCATAAAGAGGACCTGTCACTAATTATGTCTTATTGACCCCACATCTCTCCATAAAGAGGACCTGTCACTAATTATGTCTTATTGACCCCACATCTCTCCATAAAGAGGACCTGTCACTAATTATGTCTTATTGACCCCATATCTCTCCATAAAGAGGACCTGTCACTAATTATGTCTTATTGACCCCACATCTCTCCATAAAGAGGACCTGTCACTAATTATGTCTTATTGACCCCACATCTCTCCATAAAGAGGACCTGTCACTAATTATGTCTTATTGACCCCATATCTCTCCATAAAGAGGACCTGTCACTAATTATGTCTTATTGACCCCACATCTCTCCATAAAGAGGACCTGTCACTAATTATGTCTTATTGACCCCATATCTCTCCATAAAGAGGACCTGTCACTAATTATGTCTTATTGACCCCACATCTCTCCATAAAGAGGACCTGTCACTAATTATGTCTTATTGACCCCACATCTCTCCATAAAGAGGACCTGTCACTAATGATGTCTTATTGACCCCACATCTCCCTCCATAAAGAGGACCTGTCACTAATTATGTCTTATTGACCCCACATCTCTCCATAAAGAGGACCTGTCACTAATTATGTCTTATTGACCCCACATCTCTCCATAAAGAGGACCTGTCACTAATTATGTCTTATTGACCCCACATCTCTCCATAAAGAGGACCTGTCACTAATTATTTCTATCACCAGGGATGCATGCATTTCTTGTGATAAGAATAAAAGTGATTAAAATATTTTTAAAAGGAACAGTGCAAAAAAAAAAAAAAAAAGTAAATACATTTTTTAAAAAGTTTAAAGTGCCCCCGTGCTCGCACGTAGTGGTGAACGCATACGTAGGCCTTGCCCACGTATGTAAATGGTGTTCAAACCACACACGTAAGGTATCGCCACGAACGTCAGAGCAAAAATTCTCGCACTAGACCTCCTCTGTAACGTCACACTGCTTACCTGTAGACATTTTTAAAGCATCACCCATGGAGATATACAAGTACCACAGTTTCACACCATTCCACAAGCGGTTTCAATTTAAAAGCATGACATGTTGGGTATCTATTTACTCACCGTGACATCCTCTTTCATATTTTACCAACAAATTGGGGTATATATGGTTTTATTTTTGTTTTTATTAATCAGTGTATTTTTCTTCCAAACAATATATATTTATTTTTAAAAACTGCGCATTTCGTTTTTCGGACAAGTGCATCCTGAATTTTCGTTTTCGGCACCAGAATTTTCATTTCAGTGCACCACTAGAGCATATATTGCAGAGATATGATTTTTTTTTTTTTTTTTTTTAACCCAGACATACAATAAGGCCCCTTTCACATGGAGTGGATTCCATTCTGATCAGCAGGGGATCGCAGATCATCTGCTGAATGGAGTAGACTGGGCGGATGACATGGTAATCACAGACAGGGCCTACTCTGCTCTATGAGAGGCTGGGACTAATCAGATTCTGCTGTCCGTTTACACCCCATTATCCTCCGATCCTAAATGAAAGAGGACAGCCCTCCTTACTTTTTTCTTTAGTGGACCAGGTCAGATCCAGAGGTAGGTGGGTGTACAGAGAAGTCAATTTACACCAGCCTGTCCACAGGAATGCACAGCCCTTCTGATTAGGTCCACCTGAAAAAACTGACAGATGGACCGGATTGGATCGCTCATGGGAAAGAGATGTAAGTTCTCCACATTTCCTATCAGCCCAATAGAGCAAAGCAGTGAGTGTTTCAGGGAACCCCAACACAGGACACAACTAGAATGTAATTTCCATTTCAACCAGTGAAGGTAGGAAACACATTTAAAACTCCGCGCATTAGAAATGTTAAAAGAATATATTAAAAATATATTAAAATATATATATAAAAATATATTAAAAAGAAATATTAAAAGAATAAATGGCATACCTAAACTCCTAAAATCACCCTACATTGCACAAGTGATCGCATTACCTTTACACCAATGGCCTTAAACAGTGCAGGGTGCCTCAACGGGAGCTCCACCATCTCCTTGATTTGTGCCAGTTGTTTTCTGCAGCCTCCAATGTCATCGTAACCCACTTCATTGAGAGACTCTTCCTCATCCTGTCAAAGCAAACATTACCAAAATTACTACAAAGTGAGGATTTGAATGAGAATCTCATAAAAGGTTCAAATGATTTCAAAATTATTGGGTCATGTGTTTTTTTTTTTTTTTTTATGCGAAACCAAGTTTTTTGCTTAAAATGGGAATATTTGGAAACTAATTTGTAATTGGGCTTTTTCTTAGGAGAAAAAAAAAAAGAAAAAGACTATTCCATATTTTCAACTTTCCAGTGAAAAATAAAAAAAAAAAGAAAAACCTGGTTTATTTTCCAGACTATGTTATGTACCCAATCACTTACGGATCTACCAATCCTTAGGCAGATTTAGGCATTGGTAGCTCCATGGTCCTCCACAGACCCTTTTCTGAGAGTTGTTACAACAGCAGTGAAGTAGAATACCTCAATTTCCAATAAAGGTTCTGTGGTACCAGTGAATGGTACCATTGCTGGTGATTGGCTGGTAGATGACCAGCGACTGAGGTAAAAGTAGCAACGCTTGCTGCAAAGGATTGTATTGGTAAGTCTTTCTGCAGAGAATTGGACTAGAGCAGCCTCTCTCAACCAGGATGCCTTGAGGTTTCTTCAGGGGTGCCTTGGCAAAATGTCTAAAAATTACCCAAAAATTTGTATACAAGCCAGCGGGTGGAACAAGCCGCCTCTTAGTTACACAAAGCCACAGATCTTCATTGTGCACCATTACCACCTTCTAGCCGCAGGAGTCCTGACAACCAATGACATCATCAGTTGATAAGGAGAATGTCAGCTGCTTGCACAACATCCTAATTTGACCCTCCCCCGCCCCTCTCCATCAGTGCTGGGGTCACATCAGCTCAGTGATGGAGAAAAACTGAAGGAGAAGAGAAACATTGGCATACTAGTCATGACCAGTGTGTAAATGTGTATTTGCTTTGGAAGAATAAATCACCTCTAATGTTGGGTGTTCTATGTGTGTGGATGTTGCTGCGTTCTATAAAACTATTAGAATAGTTTTTCACATTTTAGAATGGGGCGCCTCGGCACCGGCCATCATTTTAAAGGGCGCCTCGGCACCGGCCATCATTTTAAAGGGCGCCTCGGCACCGGCCATCATTTTAAAGGGCGCCTCGGCAACGGCCATCATTTTAAAGGGCGCCTCGGCAACGGCCATCATTTTAAAGGGCGCCTCGGCAACGGCCATTTTAAAGGGCGCCTCGGCACCGGCCATCATTTTAAAGGGCGCCTCGGGACCGGCCATCATTTTAAAGGGCGCCTCGGGACCGGCCATCATTTTAAAGGGCCCCGGGACCCCATCATTTTAAAGGGGTGCCCCGGGACCGGCCATCATTTTAAAGGGCGCCCTCGGGCACCGGCCATCATTTTAAAGGGCGCCTCGGGACCGGCCATCATTTTAAAGGGCGCCTCGGGACCGGCCATCATTTTAAAGGGCGCCTCGGGACCGGCCCATTTTAAAGGGGGACCGGCCATCATTTTAAAGGGCGCCCCGGGACCGGCCATCATTTTAAAGGGCGCCTCGGGACCGGCCATCATTTTAAAGGGCGCCTCGACTGAAAAAAGGTTGAGAAACACTGGACTAGAGAACCGGACCATAAATGAAAGTCAGTGGATCGTCTGTGGAAGGGGACAGAGGCAACTACAGCTCACTGAACTTACAGAAGTTAGCATGTACCCTGCAGATGATTTCTGGGGCCACAAATACTGAAGAATAAATCTCTCATTGATATCACAGCACTTGTCATACCTCTGCAGCACAGAGCACCTCTGATTTATACTTGGATTGGGCAGATTGGTACAGATACATACAGGGGATTGATGAAAACACTTACCTCACGTTTAATGGGCTCCCCTTCACAGTGGATTACAGTATCTGGGGCGACTATACAGTACGGACTGGGATCTGTCTCTACCACCTTGAACTCCACAGCACGCATCCCACCGCGGACCAGAAAGATGTCACCTGACGCGCAAAGACAAACCACCACAATTAAACGCTCGTATTGTCAATCATACACTTCATTACAGCATTCGATTATTCTACCGGAGCAGTTTTTTAATCTTTCACATTAAAATCTGCATTTTAGAAAGAAATTACTCTAACCCCCATAACAACGATATAGTTGTTATGAATACACGCCTTAGTTCTCACAAGCGCTCTAGAAAAGCAGCCTATACGGTTCTCTGGAAAACGTCCATACCTTTTCTGATAGGCCTGTAGGCCTCAAGGAAGTAAGGCTTCAGATAGACCTCAAAGAGATTTCCCGTGATTCCCTCCACTGTATCATCGATGGGTAAGACATGGATCCGTTTACCATACTTCACATCTGGGCATGGCTGAATACTGACAGGGGGAAAAAATAAATTGAGCCATAAGCAACATTGCAATATATAAGTGCAACACAAGGGACAGGACATCATTTGATGGATCCTCAAAGTTTTTCCCAAAACTATTAATAATTCTACACTTTATTTTAAACCCCTTCAAGTCCGGCCACTTTCACTCCCTTCCTGCCCAGGCCAATTTTCAGCTTTCAGCGCTATCACACTTTGAATGACAATTGCGCTGTCATGCAACATTGTACCTATATGAATTTTTTTAGCATTTTTTTGAGACAGTTAAACCTTTATTTTGGTGGTATTAATTCACCGCTGGGATGAATCCTCCTTTGCAATTCTTAGTATTGTCTCAGTGCTCCAATTGTATAAATTGCGCACTCACCAGATGCACAAGGAATTTGTGCATTAAATATAAGCTCTCTGCGGGCATCTGGTGAGTGCGCAATTTATACAACTGGAGCACGAAGACACTACTATGAATTGGAAAGGAGGATTCACTTCCTGCTGACTATTTCAAGTCAAGCTTTCACGTTTATGCACCTATAGACTGTCTTTTTATATTGGGTGCAATTTGGCACCATATGCATATGACTTGTGATTTTGAGTAATACTGTAGCGCTGCACCTATTCTATTTATTTATTTACCCCCTTAACAATTGCCTACACTGCAAAGATAAATGTACTGTAAAAAGAAATTGCTCTCTATTATAAATCACAAATGTAATATACAAAGCATCCCTTATCTACAACCCACAATGTTAAACACTTAAAGTGGAACTCTACCGATAACAACCTGAGATAAAAACATTCTTTAGCAAGGAAAACATTATTAACCCCTTCGCGCTGGCGCCTCCCGGCCCTTTAAGGGTTTCAGAAGCCGTAAGGCGGGGCGGGGTTTAGGGTCATGTGACCGCAGTGACACACCGTCACATGATCAGGAAAGGTCCTGATCGAAAGAGGAGATTGGGACCTTTCCGTGAGTACCGGACATGTGTGCTGAGAGCGAGCAGGACGCGGGCTCTCAGCACGTCATTTAATAGAACGCAAATGTGCGGCCGCTCGGCATCTAGCCCAGGCGCCGGGAGGCCGCACATTTGCATTCGGCTGGCGTGATGAGGTTAATGATGCTACCAAGAGCAGGGACACTCCCCAGTGGGGACTAACACAGCAATAGAATATTGAGCAGAGTGTATCCCTTCTCTACCTTTCTACCTGGTGGCTACATAGGTGTGCAGTGCTCAGTATTAGTAATACATATACCTTAACCCTTTCAGTGCCAGGTCACTGATGGCACTACATAAATACAGCTGCTATATATTATACACTTTATTTCTGATTATTTCCATCCCCACTGTATAAGATTTTTTTTTTGGCACTATATAAATATCTGAAATAAATAAAATATACCGGTCTTCCTGCATCTGACTTGTGCTGGAGGAGCGCTTGCACTGGGCAATGCAGAACACGGCACCCTTCACCCTATACACATTGCCAAGCACAGACTGATCTTACATACGGACTAATAAACCATCAGCTATGACCTTTTAATCCTGTCTTCATAAGGAAGGATGACAGGTCAGACAAGGTAATATACGATCACCTCTAATATGAATAATAAAAATGAATTACTCTTTATGGACTGTAACTGCTTCCATTGGTGATATATGACAGCTGAAGAGTGAGCAGATAAATATTAATGGTGGAATGTAAGCTCGAAAGAGCAGGGCCCTCGATCCCCTCATGTTTTGCATTGTATTGGTATTGTTCTGTCACATGTTCTGTCTCCCTTTGTAATGTACAGCGCTGAGCGAACTATTGGCGCTTTATAAATACTGTATAATAATAATAATAATAATAATAATGTTCATTTTGTATGCAAGACAGCCAACACCACCCATTTCAATGTCAGAATGATGGCTCTGGTCATTTCTTTTTGGAGTAAGCCTGCTCTCCATAATAAACCGAGCAGCAAAAGCTGTGCATATGATTTAGTTTGTGTTATTGAACCCTGACTTTTCCTAGCTTCAGAGCCGAGCTGAGCCCAATGTCTCTGCACAGTAGAACGGCAGTTGGCAGTAACTCAGGTCTCAATCATACAGCCCCATGTTCACACTATAACCCACATGTGAATCACAGGAACTGCACCACATTCCTGTGCAATTCAGTGTGGTGCGATTTGAGCCCATTTATTTTGAATGGGATCAAACTGCACTGCATCACATCAAAGCCCTGCAGGCACCTTTTTTTTGGAACCGAACTGCAACTGGATCACATGGTACTAAATCAGGGGTGAGCAACTGTGGCCCTCCAACTGTGTTTGGTGAACTACAACTCTCATCATGCCTCTGCGTTTGGGAGTCATGCTTGTAACTGTCAGTTTTGCAATGCCTCATGGGACTTGTAGTTCTCTGGAGGGCCACAGTTGCCCACCCCTGTACTAAATGATCACTGCATTTTTGACCTGCATTGGTGCATTGTTGACTTTACCAGGGGCGGACTGACAACTCATGGGGCCCCCGGGACAATAGGGATCATGGGGCCCCTGTGTCCTTTCCCAAACTCAAAAAAGCCTATGAAAAAGGTACCAGGAGCATCTCATGGGGCCCCCTACTGACCCCGGGCCCTCGGGCAGTGCCAGAGTTTCCAAATGGTCAGTCCGCCCCTGCTCTTTACTGACACCAGCAGCAGATAACACAGCGAGGAAAACGCACAGGAATGGCGGTATTTCCGCACCGTATAAGTGTGAACTTAGGCAAAAGGAAACAAAGAGGTGAAGGTTCACTTGAACTTATTACAGAATTAAAAAGCTTTACTGATGACATCCCCCAGCCTGACGCGCAGATTGTTACGGACCACCCTGTTCATTCGGATCTTCTCGTCAGAGCAAGTATCATCAGACAGAACGATGCACACAGCTTCTCGCCTTTTCTTCCCTTTCAGGAGGACAGTGTCGCCACGGAAAAGCTGCAGCTCATCCATCTTACCCTGCAACAAAAACGCAAGTAGGGTTTGTTATTGTAAAAAAGGGCAGTTATACTTTAGCTCCTGAACTTTTTTGGCGAGACAAGTGACAGAACAGCGTTCAGTTGTGAATGGGCACAACAGAATATGGGAATTCTTTGTTGCGTATTGACTATGGATGCACCGAAATATCGGCCACCAAAACATACCAGCTGAAAATAGCCCTATCAGCAAAAGGAAAATTTTAGCTGATAAAAGAGACTATGTGCACTGCAGATGTGATTGTGGGGGAAGGGGGGGCGGAGAAAGGTAGGAGAGGAGCAGTGTATACAGTGACTGGCTGTCACTATAGGTCAGTATCGGTTTTAAATGTAATTACCGCTTTCTTTTTCTTCACTATAGCTCAGAGAATAAGCTGTCACTTTCCCCCCAGCTAAAAGAAAGTTTCCTTTTAGTTTGTTTCTGGAGATAAAAGAAACAAAGTTTCCTTTAGCTCTGGGGAAAGTGACAGCTAATTCTGTGAGCTATAGTGAAGAAAAAAAAACAAACAAAAAAATAAAACAGCACTGACATATAGTGACAGCCAGTGAAGGAGCCTCTCTGTATACACTGGTCCTCTCCTGCCCCCTCCTTGCACACACTGCCCCCACCCCCCTCCCCCCTAAAAAGAGGACCCGTCACTCAAACACTATCACATGGGGGACTACTGGGCCCCTATGTGATAGCAATAAAATCATAAGTTAAAAAAAATAAAAATACATTTTTATATATATATATATATATATATATATATATATATATATTATATATAAATAATATATTAATATATATATACACACACACACACACACACCTTAGATTGTACACCCCTTGAGGGTTAGGGACTGATGTGGTTGTACAATATATATGTAAAGCGCTGCGTAAATTTACGGCGCTATATAAGTACCTAAAAAAAAAAAAATTGTGTGTGTGTGTGTATGTATATATATATATATATATATATATATATATATATATATATATATATATATATAAATATATATAGATATATAGAGAGACTTATGTCGGTCATGATATGTCTGTTTGGCGTTTGTGAGTATATATCTGCTACCTTTTATAAATAAAGTTTGTATTGAGGTAAATGCGCAAGGCTGGGGCACCCCTTTCTTTTTCTCGTTTTATAGTCTCTCTGTTGAGGTCTGTCACACACCAAGACAGTTAGGGCAGCAAAGCCAATGTTCCCTGCTGATTGGAGAGCTCTAGCTCAGACTTAAGCTCCATGCACATGGAGGGGGGGGGGGGATTTTTGAGAACGCTGGCAACGTTAGCTGTGTAAAGTCGTGTTAAAAATGTGAGGTTTTTTTTTTAGCTTTTTTGACTTAGTGTGTAGCGGCGTTTTGCCACGTTCAAAAAGAAAGTGTCACGTGGGTGCTAAAATAAAATAAAATTTAAAAAAAACCTGCTGGTTTGCGGAGTTTTACTGCATTAGAGTGTTTTTACAGCTAAAAAAACTCCTCTAGAAACCCACTAGTCCTGGGTGTTTTTCCAGCCAAAAAACGTTGATTCCAGTCTGTGTGTGCATGGACACACAGGATAACATGCTGGGAGGTTTGCTAGCTGTGGAAAAAAGTGAAAAAAAAAAAACAAAAAAACAAACAAAAATGGCAAAAGCCAAAAACAGCCGCTGTAAAAATGTCCAGTGTGCAAAAGGACTAACCCACGGTTCACACACATGCAGCCGCGTTTTGCGCGGGCACGAGAGCCTATTCGTTTGAATGGACTCCCGTGCCCCGTGACACGCAGAGAAGAAGTCCCTGCACTTCTCTGGAAAACGCAGCCGAGGTTCCCAGTACGGTTGTGTTTTCCAGTGTGGGCGGCGTGCCATTAGAACTAATGGCACCCGCCCGCAGGTCCACATTCCTCTGTGCGGGTGGTGCAGCTGCATGGATTTTCGTGCGGATCCGCAGCCGCACCACCCGCACAGATGTGAACCTAGCATTAGAAGGGTGTGTAGTACCTCTGCAGAGAGACCACTGCTGTCTTCTCAGGCTGCAGCTGCTTTGCAGGGAAGAGATCTAAGATTTCACAAACCTTTTGTTTTAATGCAGTTCATTAAGTTGCAGCTTATGTAGGCTGAACATTCAGCTGTGCTTTCAACAGCAACATGTGAATATGGTTTTATGCAAAAAGGTCGCTATAAATATCTTCCTACTATTAGATTATTATTAATAGATTACCTATATCATTAGATGAATTACTGAGCCAGGCTGGGCACCCCAGAAATAGAACATAAAAATGGCCGTCATACAGTCCAGTGACTGAACGGTCATTCGGAGGGACTGGGTGGTGCAACTTCCCTAGCAACAGCTCTGTCAGAACTATTCGGTGCTCACAGAATTAAACTGGAAGGCCTGGAACCTGTCTCTACATAACGTAACATGGACATGCTGGAAGATATTTTGTTCTTTATATTCTATTTTCATGGTTTCTAAACAAAGGATTCTAACAGCAGACATTCTCAGTTTCTTACAGCATACTTTCCCAGATTGTAAATTTTGGGGGGGTATGGTGGTAGCAGACAGCCTGAGACAGGGGTAGGCAACCTGCAGCTCTCCAGCTGTTGCAGGAATACAAGTTCCATCATGCCTCTGTAAGTCATAGCTGTAACTGTCAGTTTTGAAATGTTGCAATGCCTCATGGGAAATGTAGTTCCACAACAGCTAGAGCGCCACAGGTTGCGTACCTATGGCCTAAGAGATTAAGGGCTGAATATGGTACCAATCTGCAAGATTAATTGAGGATTCAATTATAACAAAACTATTCACGATGATTTTTTTTCCCCCCAACATGAACATCTAGAAAAAGTTCATATTAAACTTTACATTACATATGGTGTTGTTATTTGACAGGATTATTTTAATCAAAAATGGCAATTGTACCATTATTATTGCATAAAGTGAATATTTGCCTAAATACGTATTTTGAGTTTATTTACGCCTATATGCTACACAAAAAGTTAAATAATTAAAGCGGAGTTCCACCTGAAAAAAAAAAAAAAAAAAAAAAAAAAGTCAGCAGCTACAAAAACTGTAGCTGCTGACTTTTAAAATACAGCCACTTACCTGTCCCTCGGTCCTGTGGTGTCCTCACCATCGCTGGTTTCTCTGGCCGTCTTCTCTCCCTGGCGCCGGCAACTTCAGTGTGACAGCTTGCGGCTTCACAGCCGGGTGCCCACTGCGCATGCGCAAGAAGCACTGCACTTTGTGAATGGCCCCATCGTCTTCTGGGACCTGTCGTGTCCCAGAAGACTACGGGGAGGGAGGAATAAGGGCTTCTTCCACTTCCGATCGCCTAGGCAATCGCAGCGGAAGTGGGAGCGGGTACCTGTCAAATTTGGGTGCCCCCTTCCCCCCACTCCCCAAAGGTGCCAATCCTTCATAGGGAGCGGGGGACAAAGGCTTAAACTGGAACTTCCCCTTTTGGATGGAGCTCCGCTTTAAGAAGTCTTCATACAAGTGACCTCAGAAAATGTATGTAAGATGTATAGATCAAATTTTTTTTCAGAATCACTTAGGTAATACTTTATTTTAAGTGACACTGACCCATTTGTCTAACTAGTTCTGTCAAAAGAGCGACTACCTCCTAAACTTATTGCACTTTAACAAGCTGTAGGTTAGAGGTCAACTCTTGACATGGCAGAGGAGGCTTTACGAAAAATCCAAAATGATTCCTAATCCTATACTGCCCCCTACAGGTAACTGGGATCATTTAGAAGAGAAAATGACACCTAGGGTAACGTCATAATGAGACGAGAAGCTTTACCCACCAAGGTTTTTTGGGTGATAACAGTAGAGAGAGAACGGACGGACGAACACATCAATGATACCATAGATTACTGGTAACGTAGAACTTATTATTCTGCAGGCAATTTGTGCTCGCTTTATATCTCCAGCTAAATCGTTTGATGCGAACCACAACCGATGTCATATCAGAGTCAATTCAAATCTGAAATGTAGTATACATTATCTTCATTTCAAATCTCTGGGGGCAGGATTCTCTTTGAAATATCCCCAAAGCCGATTTCAGCTTCTAGTCAATGGTTTAGTTGGGCATATATATGACAAAACAGACAACTTAGTAAACATTTGTTCTTGAACTCAGATAGATTCTAAGCTGATTGGATTGTCCTGTGTATGGTATTTTAAATCAGTTCATGCCAAGGTAAACGTTGAACTTTGGAAATCTGGTTGTAGAGAGATCACGTGGTCAATCTGCATAGCTGTTGTCATATGCTGCCGAGTTAGAGTTTCATAAACTGACATTTTACACAGTTGGTCCTTATTCATTAATATCAGATATTACTTGCTGGTTGGAATTTCTAACCAATATATTTTTAATAGATGAATATCAATCAAAACAAAATAGCAGTGCAATTATCAATTATATTTTAATTACAATTTGCACTGATATATATATATATTTTGTACATTATTGGTTTTTACTTGGCCTTCAAATTAGCGCAAATAAAGAACTCGGATTATCAGTTGATTTATGAAAATTAGTAGGGAATCTCCTTAAAGCGGAGTTTCACCCAAAAGTTGGAATTTCCGCTTTAATGCCTTGTCCCCAGCTCCCCATTAAGGATTGGCACCTTTGGGGAGCGTGTACCCGAATTGACAGGTACCCACTCCCACTGCGATCTCCTAGACCAGTGGTTCTCAACCTTCCTAATGCCGCGACCCTTTAATAAAGTTCCTCATGTTGTGGTGACCCCCGACCATAAAATTATTTTCGCTGCTACTTCATAACTAATTTTGCTACTATTATGAATCGTAATGTACATATCTGATATGCAGGATGTGTTTTCATTGTTATAATGCTTTAATTTGCCTTTTAGATCTGTGCTGTGGCCGCCGGACACATCGGCCGATTTCTGTCCCTCAGGGGGGGTCCCCCTGCTCCTTCTCTGGCCCCTTGCTACCCTGGTGCCCCGATGGGCAAAAAAAAACGCCGGCCGCCCGCCC